TATCTATGAAACACTTCACCAATTCGTTAGTTCAAAAGTTTTTGCTTCTATGTTTAACATGCATGACATACTTTTTGCTGGTTCTCGAGCTAGATAATGCTACTACAATAGTTAACATACTGATGTCGCCTCTATATCTAATCATACTTTTTGCATTTCCTGACGTTTTTCATTCCTATAACTAACATATATTTCATCCTGAAAAGGAAACATATTTTCGTGTTATACAGTATGAATAACACTAACTTAATTGTAATAAGCATGGTCTTTAAACAACGGTCTCTAGAGGTAAATTTAACCATATTGGTGATTCTCTGACATAAATTTGTGTCTTTTAAGATTTATATATCTTCCTTGGTGAGACCAATTTTGTTAACTCTGTTGATGTATATGAATTTTCAAGTACGTCTAGATGAACATAAGACTGTGTCTCTTAAATCAAAATGTACAATCGTGTGATCACCATCTCCATACAAATAATTATGGTGAGTTTACTATTTGTTTCGTTTATGGAGATGTTATATTTATGCAGCCATTTGACTGATCATTTAGATATTTCCCAATTTGTACTTCACTGGGCCAAGGGTATTATACAAAATAGACATGATATATTCCAAATGAGGATTCGTTCTGAAAATAGTGAAGACAAAGATATTCTTCTTCTGAAGAAAATCATTTTGTTTAAATACATGAAATTTAAAGGTCCTTTTCAGGAACATCACATCTTGATAATGAGAAAGCTATTTACAGTAAACATCAGCATTAATTATTGTCTGATTTTTTAAGTTTTATATATCTTCGTCAGTGAGACCAACTATGTTAACACTGTTGGTGTATATTTATTTTCAAGTACGTCTAGAAATATATAAGACCCTGTCTTCTATATGTTTTAGTAACTTTCTTAAATATTCATTTGTCTTGTTAAGTTAGACAAATATTTATCTAATCTTTGATTTTCAGTCAAGCTTTGAGTTCAAAATCTGTTAGATTTGAGATTGAACACTGATTGTAAGTGACAAACGAATAATAAATTTGATGTTCTTTGTATAAGTGTAAAAGTTAATATGTCAAATGTTGCCGTAACATTGTTTCAAACCCTATGTTAATTTCTCTCGTGATAAATCCAGTGTTTTTTTTACACCAATGAAAAATACAGACTCTAACTGAAATAGCAATATGAATATAATGTACACAAATTGTATGAAAGCTAGTCATGTATTTTATAAGCTAAGATGTTTTAGTATGGTTGTTATGTCTGAGATTTTTCCTTAGTTTTGTGAATAAATGTTTCAGTATGTATGAC